ATATATATATATATGATTTTTACAACCCCTGGTAAGTCCCAAATCACACACAGCACTGGCATGCATAAGAATATGATGTAAACTTGTTTTTTAAAAGGCTTCTTTGGTTTGCACAAATAAAATAAAAATAAAATAAAAAACATACATACATACATACATACACACATACATACATATATATATATATATATATATATATATATATATATATATACACACACACATACATACATACATACATACACACATACATACACACATACATACACACATACATACACATACATACACATACATACACATACATACATACATACACATATATACACACATACACACATACACACACATATTTATATATATAAGTGTTGGGCTAACAGTCACTTTCTAATTACCATCGCTTGAAAAAATAGTTGATGTTGATGAATGAATTTTTCTTTACTTCGTATATGCACTAAATGCAGGTGGGGGCTATTAAGAGTGACTCTGTTTCCTACCTAAAAATGTGTTTCTCCATTTCTTATCCAGGGAAATATAATAGTCTGCCTTTTCAATATTTCCCAGGATGTTTCATTTTTCTAGGAGAGGAGTGGGTGCTAACTTCCTACACTATAAAGCATCCTGATGAACTTGCTTCTATCACTGGGAAGGTCCCCTGTTTCCTCCATCATCTTCTTCAAGGGTGTCAAACGTGGGCCAGATGCATCACATCAACCCTCAGTTTAGCGGGTTTAGCGAAGGGGAAAAATTCACGATACAGCACATGACAACAATGTGATGCCGTGAGTTTGACACCCCTGATCTTCATGATTAAAACGGAACCCTCCTCTAAGCTGAGATTTTTTCCTGGTGACTTTGTGGATAGATCTATGTAGTTTTCTTGAGAACAGTCTGGAAGTGTTTTTCTGCTGACTTCTTCCAGGATGGTGGTTTTTTTTTAAAAAAAACAACTTCTCAACCTAGCCTACACTTTCTGGTGGTCTCCCATCAAAGTGACTAAGTGCTTTCAACCTTCTTTAGTGTTTTTTTTTAGATCAAAGTACGCTTACTACCCACCTTTAAAAATATTTTTTAAAAAGGTGTTTTGGAGCTTGTATAAATCAATGACTTTTGTATTTCTTATATTCTAGAAAAATGTCCTTCACCCTTCAATATAAACACACAACAATTATTCAATAAGCTAATAATAACATGGGAGTCGCCAGAAGATATACTGCAGTATGAATTGCAATACAAGGAAGCAACGCAAAGAACCTCATCCTGGATACCAGTGTGTATTTTCAGTAGATACGAAGACAAAAGAAAATACTCTCATTGTCAAAAAGAAATCTAGATATCCTCCATGTGTTCTTTTTATTGTTTTGGTGAAAGCCATTTCACTGAAGTGTAATTCTACAGTTCTTTGCTTCTTTCTCTAGCTTGTTCAAAGAGTTTCTACACCTCACATTTCAAAGGAGGCTGTTTGATATCTGATCCTTAGTATCCTTTCACTTTTTGAGCTGACCAAAAGCTTCTGACATTCAAACACATCCTTCTAAAAGAAATATTATACTTGGCCCGAAGGTGCTGTCATCAAATTAAGTAAGCCTTACAGAACAATAGGCTTAGACGCTGAGCTTGTCGATCAGAAAGGTCAGCAGTTTGGGGGTTCGAATCCCAAACGCCACATAACGGAATGAGCTCCCATTACTTGTCCCAGCTTCTGCCAACCTAGCAGTTTGAAAGCACGTAAAAAATGGAAGTAGAAAAATAGGATGGGAAGGTAACAGCGTTCCATGCACCTTCGACATTTAGTCATGCCAGCCACATGATCATGGAGACATCTTCAGACATGCTGAGTCTTCAGCTTTGAAACGGAGATGATCACCACCCCCTAGAGCCAGGAACAACTAGCACAAATGTGCGAGGAGAACCTTTACCTTTACCTTTTACCTACAGAACAATCCAGAAAGCAGGTGAAGGGGATATACTGTAGATATGTTAATGAATTAACAAATTGACCCTATCAGGGCAAAATAGGAGGGTAGCAACTGGAGTAGAAAGAAGTACACTAGTTCCAGAGCTTATTTATAAATCATATTTACAAGACTGTCCAATTCCAGATGCCTTTGGGAAGCAAGCAACAATATAAACAAAGTATAAATACTATCAGGAAAAAAAAACAAGGGATTAACCCAAGTAAATAGCTATTTTCTCCCATTCTGAATCAGATCTGCCAACTTTTGCTGCTAACAACAGCATCAATAATTCGACAACAGAACAATAGGCTAAGTGAGATTTTTGCATCCATAGTAAAAGGGATGCTTGTATCTTACTTTCTGTTCTAAGGTCTTGGCATGCTGACTAAGGACTGCAGCCTAAATAGACACTTCTATAAACAATTATGAGCCCATATAACAGTGTACCTTATTACTAAATTGCACCAGATTATGCTGCAAGGACACTGTTTTATATTTCTTTACCTAAGAATAAGTCCATTGAACTTAATGGGATCATTTGGGGGAGTTTAATTTGTTTAGTCTTTTTCTTTGTTTCTGTATTGCTTCCTATACTCGGAACACCTCGAAACAATGTTTGTAATTTTAAAATGCACCTAGTTAAGATACAAAACTCAATAATTTGAAGTTATAATAATGAAAGCACTCTGTATTAAAGTGTTTAAAAGAAGTAGGATAAAGGTAAAACAATGCATACAGTATCCTTACGGAGAAGGCCTGTATGAAGAAGCTAATTGTTTCAAGAAAACAATGTGTTTGTGATAAAGGTGCTCTTATCTCAAATTCTTTGCAGGTCTCCATGGAGATGAACGTTTTTAATGTTACTATCCCTGATGTAAAGCCAGCAGCATCCTACGTGGTTCGCCTCAGATGTATACCCAAGAATAATCATTGTTCTGTTTGTCTTTGGACAAAAGAAATTAGTATCCCATATAGTGAGTGTCATGTTGGGTAATTGAGAAGACAACATTACTGTATTGATGAATTGCAAAGTTTCACTTGTTATTTTATGAACAAGTTGCTGTGCTGTTCTGAAATGAGACTTGACATATTATCGCCCTTTCACAGAGCTTACCCAAAAGCCCACAATTTTGGAAAATATAACTAAGGAGATCTCGCCAGGAAAAAGAAGTCTCTCTCTTACATGGAAGGTATGTATATTTTCATTTTCATAATTATTTATTACCTTTTTCTTGTCCTCTCACCCCACATAGCTTAAGAAAACACACATGAATGTTTTCTCTTTGCCCATTAAAAACCCTCAATAAAATATGTTAAAATCAGCCCCTTAGGTCAATCATTCTTGGCTTGCATTATCATAGCTTCCTTGACATCTGAATTAGAAAACTATGTTTTAGAACAGCGGTCACCAACCAGTGATCCGTGGACAGAAATGGGTTGCTCCCGGTTTGGCCCAGTTCAGCCGAACTGGTAGTGGCGACGGCGGGACGCTCCGCCCACCCACCCAGACACAAAAGTTGCGTGCACATACACACATGCGCGCGAGCATGCACAAACCACTAGTAAACCGGTTAGCAACCCACCACTGTCCATGGACCATTGGTGGTCAGTGAGAAATTTTTGGTGGTCCCCAGAAAAATTATTTGCATTTTTTTTTATATTGCACTAAATGCTATTTATCTTTTTAAAAATTAATATTAGTGATCCGCGGGATTTAAAATTATGAATGTAGTGGTCCTTGAGGTCTGAAAGGTTGGTGACCCTTGTTTTAGACGATTTAAGGCTGAAAGATGAGAGGAAGCCCACATTCACATCATTTGTTTCCTAATCAAGAAACTGGTTAATTAAGCTTTATTCTATAAAGGCATAGAAATATTGAATTCTATGGCAGTCAGATAATTAAATATAGCAAAGTAAAACTGATATTGAGAAACATCTAAGGAAGTCAGGGTTTTCAATGAAAATTAAATTACTAATTAATTTTTTTGAATTACTTTTGCATTATTTACAAATTTAACTCTATGTATAATGTTACTGTTGTGCTTAATTGTTCAATGCTGGTATTTATCTACCCTAGACTTGTGAAAGCGAGCATACCATTGGATATCTCATACATATTAAGAGAATTCTTGACTCCTTCCATGGAATACCATATCTCAACATAACGAAACCTTGGCTGCATCTGAATCTCTCAATGGCAACTTACAATATTAAAATCACTGCCTATAATGAACATGGAAACTCACCTTCAGTGAACTATAGGATTCCAGATTTCATGTCAACATATTCAGGTAAAATAATTTCTTAAAAGAATATCAAGAAAAACTTTCTATTTGTATTTTAAGTTTCAAATAACAAACTATGAAAAATCATTTTTTAAAATGCTGCCTTGCCTCAGGTTTTTCTGTTTTATTATCTCTGAATTCATGGAATAATACAACATAGAGAGACCCTAGGGTCGCTTTTTGCCCCCCAGAGCCTTCAAGGAAGCCTTCTGAAGGCCCCTGAAGGCACCGGAGGCTAAAAGCGACCCTATGAGCAACCCGGAAGTATGTTCCCAAACTTCCAGTTTTCTGTAGGGCCAGTAGGGAAGCTTCTGAAGCCTCCGGAGGGCGAAAAATAGCCTCAAAAGAAGGCCGAAGTCAGCTGGTCAGCGCACCAACTGACAGGGCAATGCCTCGCTTGCCCAGACAAATGGCTCCGTGTGCCACCTGTGGCACGCATGCCATAGATTCGCCATCACGGTTATATACAGTATTTTTAGAGTATAAGATACATCTTTCCTCCCCAAAAAAGAGTGTGGAAATGTTGGTGCATCTTATACACTGAATACAGCCATTTTTGGCTTCCAAAAGCCCTGCCCCCACATCCAATTTTTGCATAAAATGGCTCATTTTTTGCAAAAACTGAGGCGTTTTGCCTCCTCCCAGCCTCCAGAAGCACTCTGCTGGCTTCAGCAGGGCTGCGGAAGGCAAAATTTCCCACGTTTTCCACCCACTTTTTGCAAAAATGGTGGCACTTTTGCCTTCCCTAGCCCTACTGAAGCCCGCAGAGTGCTCTTCAAAATCCTGGTGCGTCTTATACACCATTTGTATCCTTCTTTTCAACTTATTCTGGAGGAAAAAATATATAGATTTCTCCCATGTGAGAGGCTAAGAGTGAGTTTTCTTTGAAGAATATTGTCTTATTAACATTTCTACTTATTCTTACAGATTTACCTGGCAATCTCATTATTTCAAATCAGCAAAATTATACCAATATAACCTGGAATCTAAAATATAACCCTCCTTGCCTTGCTATTGATTGGGGCACTGGAATAGAAGACATGAAATCTAAAAGTTTCTGTCAAAATGAAACAAGCGTAATACTTGGTAATGCCATCTGTATAATACGTTAAAAGTAGAATGTTTTTTTCCTTTTCCTTTTAAGAAACCACATTAAAATGGGTCTATAGTTCTGTTTGGGCTTGCACGGTTTTATATATGAATACAAAAAGAGCAACAATAATGACTGAAATGGAAATGAGAACTTCCAATTGCATCAAAAAAAGTCACAATGTTAAAAATGCTCTGCATTCTGGTATAAGTGCAGATTTCAACCACAGTCTAACATAGAATTAGATACGCTTAAACCAATTCAGTGGTAGTCAACCTGGTCCCTACCCCTCACTAGTGGGCGTTCCAGCTTTCATGGTGGGCGGTACGGGTTTTGTCTGATACTGAAGCACTTTCCTTTTTCAAATTTAATTGACTTCCCTACTTTATTAATCACCATTACTGTGGAACCGGTAGGCGGTTAGAAAATTTTATTACTAACAGAGATACAAAAGTGGGCAGTAGGTATAAAAAGGTTGACTACCCCTGAACCAATTGATATCAAATGTCTATTGTGACCTAAGAAACCTACTTTCAAATTTACTTTATTTTACTGGACTGAGGTGTTTGTTGGACTGTAAATTAACGATGCATTGGCTCAGTGGCTACGACACTGAACTTGTTGATCAGAAAGTCGGCAGTTCAGCAGTTCAAATCCTTAGCACCCAGTAACAGAGTGAGCTCCCGTTACTTGTCCCAGCTTCTGCCAACCTAGCAGTTCAAAAGCACGTAAAAAATGCAAGTAGAAAAATAGGGACCACATATGGTGGGAAGGTAATAGTGTTCCGTGCGCCTTCGGTGTTCAATCATGCCAGCCACATGACCATGGAGATTTCTTCAGACAGCACTGGCTCTTTAGCTTTGAAACGGAGATGAGCACTACCCCCTAGAGTCAGGAACAACTAGCACATATATGCAAGGGGAACCTTTACCTTTACCTTAGATTAGGTTTGTCAACTAACAAGAAAACAGGGCAGTTAGCATAATCTTAATCCCTTAGCAGCAAATGCAAATTTAAAGCAGAATATTTCAAATACTGCAGAAGTTGAGTACAGAAGCAAAGTACTGAATATTACATCTTAATCCCCCTTGTGGAACTTCTGTGAATTTTCTCTTTCAGTGAGACTTGCACAGTGAGACTTTCGGATAATGCTAAGTGAAAAAATGAAGAAAACTTAGCAATAGCAATGATGCCAAAGGCATGACATCCAAAAGGAGAACTGAGAGATTTTTAATGAGAAACAAAAGGAATAAAATCCTGTAAACATAATAAAATCACTTTCACTCCTGGAATTTCATGAGACTTTGTGAGATTCTTTGCTGAAGTCTTACTCTTCTTCTACTACAAGCCTCTGGTTAACTAAAGTGGTCACTCTCAAAAAAGAAGGCCAGACAGATTTGGCATCACTTATTCGAAGTCAATCAATGCAGTCTCCTGCCAGGCAAGGCATTATTATTAAAATACTCACAGAGTGCTTATTAATTAAGGACCAGGGAGACATGATAGCAGTGTTCCAATACTTGAGCGGCTGCCCCAGAGACGAGGAGGTCAACCTGTTTTCCAAAGATTTTAGATTTAGATTTAGATTTATTAACATTTGTATGCCGCCCACTCCCTTCAGTACCTGAAGGCCAGGCAAGGACTAATGGATGGAAACTGAGCAAGGAGATAATTTTCTGACAGTGAGAACAAGCAACCAATGGAACAGCTTGCCCTCAAAAGTTGTGGGAGCTTCATCACTGGAGGCTTTCAAGAAGAGATTGGACTGCCATTTGTCAAAAATTGTGTAAGGTCTCCTGATTTTGGGGGGGGGGGGGGAATTGGACTAGATGAGCTACAAGGACCCTTCCAACTATGTTAACCTATTGATTTGTTCCAGAATTTTGCACAGTATCAGTCAAATTAGCTTACTCCTTAATCATCAAGACCTTTCCTCCTCCCTCCCCCCCTTTTTTAAAGATAGGAACAATCTTCGTTCTCCAATTCCCTGGTGCTATGCCCATCTTCCATGGTCATAGAAAAGGCCTCTGAAATTACATCCACAAGGTCCTTCGAGTCTCTTGACTCAAACTCAGCATGTCAGCAGCTGCTCCTACACAATCTCTGTATTGGGTTGCCAGTCCTTCCTTTTGTCAATGGTTTTCTGTTTTAACCCAATTGAACCCAGTTCCTTTGGTGCAGCAATGCTACTTCTTAGTAGTTCCATTGAGCTATTTCTATTATTTGAATTTATACATTATTCCTTTTACTGCCTTTTCTTCTGATGCAGATTAGCAGATTTATTTATCTATTTTATTGTGTCTCATCTGTTTTTCACTGATAAGCAGTCCTTTTTTGTCTTAAATCATATTGTTTTCTTAATTGTATATTTTCAAGTAATGAAATTTCTGTTACCTACCGGTAGATCACCTCCAACCTTATCAGTTATATAAAGTAATGCTGCATGCACTGGACCGTCAAAGCAAAGACTTAATGAAAGATGAACGGACACTGGTAGTGGCCAACTTCTATGCAGTGGAAGGAGGTATTTTTACAGCACTTTCTCGCTTTGCTTACTGTTTGTCACTTTTAGTGAATTCCATTTCAATCTCCTAATTACCATATTTTTCAGAGTATAAGACGCACCAGAGTATAAGACACATCAAGGTTTTGAAGAGGCAATTTTTTAAAAAAAGTAGGTAGGTAGATAGAGGGATAGACAGGGAGAGAAAGAAATATAGTAGGTAGGTAGGGAGAGAGAGTAGTTAGTTAAGTAGATAAAGGGATAGAGAGAGAGAGAGAAATAGAGATAGATAGATAGATAGATAGATAGATAGATAGATAGATAGATAGATAGATAGATAGATA